ACGACGGCATGCGGATATAATTATGGCTCATCCAGTTAATTGCACAGCTTTAGAGTCTCCTTTGTTGCCGACTGCTTGCAATGCATAGCAAATCAACATCTATTGGTATTATGAATTAATTATGGTATAATTATTAATTAGATTACTAATGTAGATAAGTTTTATATACAAATTTATTTTTAAATATGTATATATATATATATATATATATAGTAACACATATGCTTTAATTTATGATTCAATAGTTTTGTTTTGGATATAGATGTATATCCAAAACATATATGATATATTCCCATATGAGTATAATAAATCTGAATAGATATTATATATTTAAAACTCTTTATATAAATAAATAATTTGTAATTTTGATAATATAATTTTATGTGAAAAATATAAAAATTAAATGTTGTCGATAATTCTTAGAGATAAGTTTAAATTTAAAAATATATATGATTATAAAATTAAATAAAACTGAAAAGAACAGTAAATTATAACAAAAAACTAAAAAATACAACAACAATAGAATCAGTACCAATTATAACAATAATATCAAGAGCTAATAATATCTACTTTCTAGAGTCTGATAGATGCTCAGTTGGAGATACGCCGATCGTATGGTTAACAAAATCAGTTTCTACTAAGATATTGGTTAAACACGGGACAAAACAACAATAATAGGAGTAAAAACAATTACAACAATCAAATTTAAATTATTATCAGAGCACGAGAAAACTGTTCTTATAATAGATGTATAGTATAGATGTATAATAGATGTTTTGATATATATGTATATAAAAAAGTTATGTGTTATATTGTACTATTAGAGATATGAATCTTAATGTTAATACTGTATGTAGTTATATATTAAATATATTTACTTACTGATAATGTTCCTAATATATATGTATAAGGATCTATACCTTGCGGGCGTAGATACATTTTTACGACTATATAAAAACTATATAAATTGCATAAAAACTATATACAATTTTTTTATTTTATAGATATTCTATTACTGATTTTTTGGGAGGTTGGAAATGCCTACTCAGTGATCACAACCTGACGCATCGGAAAGTGACGCACACGAACTAAATCCCTGCCCATCATTCTTATCCTAATTCGGGACTACTTTAGTATAACTTTGCGGTAGGGTCCCTATTAGTCATAAAAGACTTCTATCAGTGTGCTCTGCGTCCAGGTCCCGCTACTGCTTCATTCTTGCACTTCGTTTAGACGTGACATAACTGCTCGTCCCACCTGCCTTCTTTCTAGATCTACTTTTTTTAGTCTTAGGCTGAATGTTTTTGCAAACATCTCAGTTAGTTTTGTTTTCGATTATTTTTTCTGCCATTGTCCGTGAAAAAAAAATACGTTTTTAATTTAATTTTTTATATATAGATTAAAAAAAAAGGAACAAAAACAGCAAATGTATGTATGATATTCCAGAATTGTATAACGTATAGAGTATATAATAAGTATATAATATATAACGTATAGAGTCTTAAATATATATTTTCCGATCAGATTTATTATGCTCATATAGGAATATAAAACACTTATATCCAAAAAAAAACTAAAGAAAAATCATAATCTAAGGCATATGTGTTACTAGGCACGTACTCAACTAGGGCGTCCCCATTTTAGAATATTTGTTTTATAAGAATATAACAAAATTAAAAAAAAATGCACATTTTGTAATAAATATTTAAATTAGAGATAATTCTGAACGTCTAAATGCTTCGAAGTTCAGGTATACAAATCTATTCTAAGCTTAGAATATAATGCGCATTAGACTCAAATAATAGAATAGGAATGTTGTAATAAAAATAATTTTTACATTATATACATATTATATATATATATAAACATATAAAAATATATTTATTTTACATTAAGTTAGAAAGTGTTTACTATTGATAAGCATTTTTCTTGAGTTGACGGGTATTAACTATCGCTATGGCAACTATTAGGGCTGATCAGTACTTATTAGTATTAATGAAAAAGACTACTTATCTCAGTATTATAGATGGATTTAAGGTATCAACACCTTTTTACTATTACAAAATTTCCAAGGGTTTAAATGGAATGTTAGTCTGAGGTGCAATCTATAGTTTAATTATTCCATATGAGTAATGGAAAAAGAAAATATACTTTTTTAATATATAGTAAGAGAAGTTCGAGAGTTTCTGTAGTAAAATGAAAGTAACAGAAATAAAGTGCTCAAGGAGATAAGCAACTGTCGGTAGCTAACTATCGCAAGCTAACCTCCAATATAAAGCCAAGAGTCACCAGTTTTAGTGGTTTCATAATCTATATATAATATTATGGAATATATTAATAATATATAATAATAATATAAATATATTATTATAATATTATAATATATAATATATTTTATATTATACATATAATATAACATACTCGTAAGCCCTAAACGTGTTAAAGTAGCTAAGTCAGAAAGAGAAAGAAGAAAGACTGTTTGGGTACCCAAGCCTTATATCTATTTGAGGACAAAGCGAGAAGACAAGGAAAAACGATAGTATCGAATTTGAAGTATTGCACAAAATGGTTTTGAATAGAAGAACTTTTACGAGACTCACCTACGCTGTAATGACAATAAAGGAATTTCATAAAGAAGAAGAAAAAGTTTTCAGGAGAGAGAGAGAAACATTTACACAGCAACAGTAATAAAAGAGAGAGAAGCTTTCACGCTGCAACAATAATAAAGGAGTTTGATAAAAAATAAGAAGAAGGTTTCAAGAGAGAAGGATTTATTTTTTCATTTACTTTCAGTCAACCACTCGATCTGGTTTATATAACCAGTAGATAAAAATCTGTCCCATTTAAATATATGACTCCACAAGTGGCCGGGAACACATTGAAAGGTGTAATGTACTTCTATATTTATGTCTTGATTATTAATTGATGGAAAACGTACTCAATAATTGTATTGACTAAATTTTATAGGTACTCAAGTCTTATATTTATTTATGGATTTATTGACTTACTTACTTACTTACTTAATGGGCCATTACAGACATAAGTTGCCCTTGGCCGCGTCGAGTAGTCTCCCCCAGTCAACCCCGACTTACTGCATCTTTGTTATAAATGATATACATGAGTGAACCCTCCTTTATATTGCATTTTAATGAGACCCTCTTTCTATATATAAGTGTGTCTATAATTTTTAAATTATATTTTATTTTTAAATATTTTATTAAAATTATGAAAGAAGTGCTGGCACTCGACCTCAGTACTTAGTAATTTTTGATTGCCAATATAATTTTTTTTCGCATATATTTCATTTTAATTTGATAATTTCTTGCTATAACTGCAAAATAATATAAATATTTTTTTTGATTGTATCAGAAATTGATTGATTTGTATTTATATAAATATAAATATATATAACAAATCTGGAAGTCTCTATTGGCAGTATAAGTAACAGGAAACTTGACCTTAACTTGCAGTTTATCATTAGTAAAAATGATTCCTGCAAATCGAAAATGCAAGGGGATGTGATGAATAAGTCTCATTGTGATTTTAAATAAAAAAAAAAAAACAAAAAGTATGTATTAATAACAATTAGTCATTTAGAAAAAAATAAAATATTTTTATGTTCAAATAAATAAATAAGAAAAATACTGAAAACTTGGACCTTAACAATTGATCACGTAGTACTCTTCCTCTTTATAGTACGAGTAGCGTAAAGTGCTGAAGAATGACTTTGTTTAAATAATAAAATAGTTTCTACGAACAATTAAATTTAACTTTCTTTGTTTACAATGAAATAATAAAAAGTTAAAAATAATTTAAAAACATATTTAAGTGGGAACAGAGAACAGATATCAGGAAGTTACAGCTTTTATTTAGATAATCTGTAGGTCATCAACTGTCAAGCTCAAGTGAGTGTCTGATTAAATTAACCAATTTGTTGAGACAAGAAGAATGTGCAAGATTGTAGGAAGTGCGAATGGTCATTGCGTAGGGTTCTGGTATTTTAAATGTTAAGTGGGAAAGTTCGTAGAAATGCAGAATCTTTTTATTGATTGAATGAAAGTTGTAATGATCATAGTGTTGCTATGCCTCTTAAAAAGTACTGAAACACTATAATCCATTTAAATCATATGATAGGTTGGTGGGGTTCGTATGAAAGCATGCTGGAGAACATTTTCTTTATTCTATTGGCTGTTAAGAATTGTTACTTCGGTGATGTTACGCCTTAGTATCTTTACTATAACTAGAAATCCATATCATAGTCATGTTTGATTTTAAACGTGAAAAAGAAATTTAAAATGACAGTCCCGGATTGTCTAATAAATTCAAGAACTTACACATAACATACTCTGATTTTGATAGTTTTATTTTAAACGTAGTTGATTTGGAGACCGCACATATCAGATTACACTAGTTATAGCTTTTAACCCGTTCTCAAGTGAACTGGTTTTGAATCAGACTTGATTTGTTTGTATAATCAATATCTTCATGCCATTATAAGATTTATTGTAGTCCAATTTCTTAAAAGAGAAGTTCAAAGATTATAAAGTTATTGGTTAACCATATAATAACATAATTTCAAGTTTTTATTTTCTTTTGGTTTGATGAGATCCAGACGAAGGTATCAAATTTATATTCCAAAAATCGTAAAACAAGTCCACAGTTAATTGAAAGATAAACTTTCTTTCTCGCTCTTCTTTTTAAAATTAGAATTCTTCTCATTATATTCTTCTAAATCGAAATATATATATAAATATTTAAGATCACTTATACATAAATTTATTGTCGTATGATTGTTTAGATAATCTAACCGAGAGCATATAATCTTACTATATAGTCGTTTCAACGGTCATTGCCCTATATAGCTTATCATTAAACAAATCCCCTAAATAACTCAGTGCAT